AAAATAAATTAATTAATTTTAAACAAAAATTTTTTAGAAATGTATTTTTAGCCATGACCTTTCGTTGTGTGACGGTAAGGACTTTGGAGCCACATCAGAAGTAATGGAAAGCCTTGATAAGAGTCAGGCTGGGAAGAAGACACCAAGAACAGCTTTGTAGTTTTCCCCTTATTGCCCTGAAGATATTCACAAAAGATTTTAGAGAGAACATGATAATTTCAGTATCCTTGAGACGCTCATTTCTGGATAGTAGAATATCAGTCTGTTTCAAAATTGGGTTGGGTAAAGCTTTAAGTTCTTGAGCACAGATTATTTGTTGGTCCTATAGCTAAATTCTTTCCACAGCCACATAGCCAGTTCTGAGTATTCAAATTTATTAATGAACACAGAAAAATATGTCACCAAAACTAATACTCCATTCTCCAAATAGGTTGTGAGTTTAGCTAAAATAATCAATGTCTTATATTTGCTAGTACCTCAGTGAAAAGATTTCTGAATCAATTTATCAATTCATGGTACTGCTCAGCACTCAGCAACTCAAGAGTCCCTGTATTAACTTGATAGTAGAAATTCTTGACTGAAGTCTTTACATACCTTTTCTCTTGAGATACCTAATAAGTTCAGGAATTACATCATGCTATAGAAATGGGAAATGCATTGATCATTTGAATAGACCCAGAAGATTTTTCTTACTGTGGCCCCATGGTTCAGGTTTATAAGCTCAGTGCTTTCAAGTAGTTCTGGTAGGAAATTTTGGCTTATTTTTATTATGTTTATTTAAAGCTAATTATTTACTTTATAAAAATTATTTCCTTGTACTTAACAATTGGTTTATCTCCTTGTTTACATTCCTTCTTTCAAAGCTCAAATGCGGTGATTTTGTGTTGTTAGCTCCTGGTAGTTCAGGGCTTGATAGACTGGTAGGTTAGTGAAATCTACACAATCAGTTTAACTGCTTTGGGACCACTTCTTTAACCGTAAATGAGTATGTTGACCACTAGCTGTGGTGGTGCATACCTATAATTCCTGCTCTCTAGAAGTAGAGGCGGGGGTGTTGCCACTGAGTTTGAGGCCAGCTTGGGCTACATAGCAAGGACCAGACCAGACCAGGCTAGGCAGGGCTATATAGCCTGCCTTCCCAGGAAGATGATCTCTTAGAGCTATTCTGAAATTGTTGGGTGAGGTGACATGGAGAAGGGTGACGTTCAAATTTACATTTCCTGCATTTCACATACAGTGAAATATTACTGATAAACATGTATTATGTGTGGCATTTTGAGTCCCTTACTGCTTTAAAAATTTGACTTTCTGTGTTATTCCCATCGCCACAAAACCTGAGATGATTCATTTTTACAAAACAGTGTATTTGATCTTGTCACTTGCCAACCCTTATAGTGTTGAAATTGAAATGTCAGTAAGCATGATTTCTTTTTTTTTTTTTTTTTTTTTTTTTTTTTTTTGCCTTTTTGAGACAGGGTCTCCCTGAAGCCCCAGCTGTCCTGGAACTCACTGTGTAGACCAGGCTGGCCTTGAACTCAGAGATCTGCCTGCTTCTGCCTCCTGAGTGCTGGGATTAAAGGCATGCGCCACCATGCCCAGCTTATTTTTTAATTTTTTTTTATTTGATGTGTATGAGTGTATTCCCTGCATGTATGTAAGTTCACCCATTGTCGTGCAGTGCCTCTGAGTCAGAAGGGGACATTGGATCCCCTAGAACTGGGTTAGGACAATTGTTAGCCACTGTGTGGGTGCTGGTACTCAAACCCAGGTACTCTACAAGAACAGCCAGTGCTCTTAACTGCTGAGCCATCTCTCCAGCTCTGACTTCTATTTTATATATCTAAGTTTTCTTCAAAAGAAAATTTTGCCTGTATACTAAATGTCGAAGTTATTTCTGACTACCTCAAAGAAATATGCAGGGGAGTTTTATTTTTAACCAGCATTTTGATAACATTTTAAAGCATTAAATTGTATATCTGTGAGTTTATATTTTTGCACATTTTCATTAATTGATAGTAATGACAATTCTGATCACAGAAACTAAATTTTGTGGCTACTTATTTTTATCCTACTTTATTCTGATCAAAAACTTGTCTTTTAAGCTGTCCTTTCATGGCTGCTATTATCTTGACGGTAATTGCCTGGTTTCCGTTCTAGCTGATCTACTGCTTGTCCTTATCTGGATGTTATTAAAGAATATAAATGCTCCATAGAGCGTCATAGTCTCAACCTAAGTGTTTTCAGTTTCTCAGCTAAAATAAAACAGATCTGGTGTTTGGCTGCTAGTAAGACGCTCGGGTTTGCTGTCACTGTTTGAAGGACTGGAAATTCATTATGCTACTTGTCCTTCGAGGGAGGCAGGGTGTGGAAAATGGCTTCAGCTGTTTACTGATTGTGGTTTGGGGCACTGGATAGTCTGGAATACATTGCAAAAGAGCTGGTTAGAGTACCAGGCTTGCTACAAGAAAGAGCAGAAAGTTATTTGTAATACCCATGTCTGACTGTTGGCTGCACATATATATTCCTTTTTGAAAGCTTCAGTTTATTATCAGTATTTCCAGAAAGGAATAGCATCCCTGTAAAAATGTGCATTTTGGTGAAAATACCAGTAAGTTGTGCATGTACATGATGAGGACTTTGTGCACATAGGCTGATTCGAGCTTTGAAAAACCTAAGTCCTTTGCAGGTTTGTTAGCTGGCTTATTGGAGTCTTGTTTTACTGTGGCTTGAATTTCAGTAGTAGCTACTTCCAGTTCACAGTGTTGCTGTGTTTTAGCTGCATATCAGGAAATGTGCAATTCTACAGAACACAAACTGTCAGAACCTAGTACCTCTTCCCCAACTCACCTCTGGCTCCCTTCCTATCCAACAAACACTTGGAGTAAAGTACAGAAATGTTTTATGTTATCAGAAACTTGAAAATATTTAAATAGAATACACTTTGCACTCCTTTGTTAAAACATGTCATTGTTTTCTCATTGGTTCTCTGTTTTCACTCTCCTGCAAATGTCCTTTACTTCCTTCCAATTTACAAAGAACCAACATCTCCCTTCTTCCTTGAGAGTTGTTTCCATCCTTCGCCTGAGAACCATGAGTTTTCCTTTAAAACTGTGCTTTAGTTTCTAGTTCACAGAAGGCTTCCTTGATCCACAGCTATGCTGCCTGTTATTAATCCCATTTGGACTAGCCAATAAATCCTTAATAACATTTCGTAGGACACTCCCTGTCTTTCTCCTTTAATAGAATAATAGTCCTTAAAGTCAGAGATGATAGTGTCTTATTTCTGAATCTGGTATATATGCCTTTTGGGCAAGTGAATGGTTTTTATAGACGTATTCCATAATTTGAATTACTTAGATTGTAATTATTTAGGCCTTTTAAGACTTCTTCATTTGTCTCTATAACTCCCATATTTCTAGTATGTTCAACTTCCATACTGCTCTCTAAGATGTTTTTAAAAAGTAAGTCTTTCACTTTGAGCCCTTTTGGCCAGAAGATATAATAATTTAACTCCTGTGTGGTTAATTATTAATGAACCTGAACTACAGATTATAAGAAATTGGAAAGACCAGCTCCATAATCATGGAATTGTTCATTATACTGTAATGATTTGTATTGGGGGCTGGGGGAGACTGACCTTTGGCATATAATTTCTTTATTTGAAAATATGTGGTTATAGTTTCTAGAATTTAATCCAGTTCTTAATCTAAGAGGCAAAACAATATTTGCTAATAGTGGATTCTAAAATTTAAGCACATACTTATGCTCTTAGGTATCTTTAGAGCATTTGCATTCTTTTCTATAGCAAAAGAGAAACAAGGTATAAAGAAAGTTGTAGTCATAAGTAAACATTTTAACAAAATTATTTCATAACTTTCATTAAATCTAAAAATTTTTTTCTAGTGTAGTCTTTGTATTTGTTTTCACAGAATGACTTAAGGCAATTTGTATAATTATTTCTTTAGTGACATATCAAACAGAGTCAATGTATTATAACTGAATCATAATCCTGGCTGGTCTTTTTATTTATTGAAGGAACAAACACAATACATATTCAGATTCCCTATCCTTCAGTTGAGCTTGCAAAAGATCTTGTTAGATCTAAGAAATTTGTTATGAAAGATTTTTAATTTCTCTTTTTAATTCGTGGGCTAATTTGAAAAGTCCACTATGGAAAAAATAGAAGCAAAAATTACCCAACTCTTAAAAAATTTATCTAATTCTTAATAATTAAATATCTGCTGCTCATTTTCAGAGACACTAACATCCTTTTAAAAATGATTTAAGATGATCTCTTTGTAAAACCTGGTACATATAGTATAAATGTTAAAGCAGGTTAGATTATTGTTGGCATTTAAGAATGTGCTCTCTGTTTTGGTTTTGGAACGCTGCCTCCAAGAGGTTCATAGCATTTGGTACGTAGTTCACGTATTTCTAGTCTACAGACCTTCCCTATCAAGGCAAAAAAGGCTTCATAATTCTGATATTTGCCTTTTTACTGCTATAAAGCACAGTGATGGTGATTAATTAAAAAAAAAAAATCTTCCCGTGTCATTACAAATAAAACCACGGGTTTTTGAAGACTAGTAATTTGTACCTTTAAAGAGCCACGTTATATCGCTTTTGTCTCAGAATGTATTATGCTTCACAAGTATACTGTGACAGCCTGAATAGAAAGGGGGGAGGGGACATTGTCTTGAGCTGGCATGCTGTTATCAGAGGGAATGTGTTTCTGGACATGAGATTTAGCATTCATTGGTTGTTTAAGAAAGCTATTTCATCTGAGGATTGGACAAGAAGCTGCGTCAATTTGCTGCCCGTCTCCAAGGCACTGGTGATGCTGCCTTCACAAGCTGGCTAACGTCACGGCTCCATCACCCAGCGGGGTGTGGACTCTCTTTTTCTGTTCTTCTGTTTTTAATTCTCTATTTGCTGCCTACTGCATTTCTTAATCTGTCTTCTGCCAAATGCTAACAGCATGATATTTTGCAATCATCTAGGTGAATACAAAAAAGACGAACTCCTAGAAGCTGCTAGGTAAGTGATTCCATTTATTTAAGTGAGTATAATGCATTTAAGAGAGAAAAGGCGGGGGGGGAAGCAGGTGGAGAACTAGAAAAATTTATAACATGTTATTGTCTTGCTTGAATTTTAAGTAATAGTGTAAATAAGACCTTCTACTAAATCTTTGTATACTTTATTTTACATTGTTAGTGGATATAATGGCAAAATCCTTTACTATGGTGAAGATTGTAAGGTTAATTTTATTTGTAACATTCTTGAGGTACCTGCAAACCTTAGTTGTCCAGCTTTTCAAATGATATTCTTGTCGTGTGTACGTGCATATATCTTTATTTTGCTTTGAAGATGTTTCTAGCCTAGCTTGAATGAGGCATAAAGTAAATGTTAAAATCTTCACCTATTTTTTTTGTTGTTAGTCATTTATAATTCAATTGATTACTTCTTTTTAGAATTTGTATGTATTTAAAAACTGTGATGTTTTAGATCATTTTTCAGAATAAAGTTTATTTGTAATTAAGATGACTTTATGTAGATAAATAAAACTATAGAAAGCTGCATTACCTAAGATGTACTACCCATAATGATTAACAGGAATTATGTTAACTGAATTAAGTATTGTAAGACATTCATTGTGATCTGTAAAAAATTAAAGCAAAATCCTTGTTATTTTCTACTCTTAAGAAAAACATCCATAAATATTCAAAAGAAGCTCTATAATTTCACAGACATTGATTTACTACCTTTTTATAGGAGTGGTAATGAAGAAAAACTAATGGCTTTACTGACTCCTCTAAATGTGAATTGCCATGCAAGTGATGGGCGAAAGGTAGGTTGTTTTCAGTGCCATCTCTTTCACGACTTCTTGTTTACAATGCAGTTTGTTCAGAGTAGGCTTGAATACATGTGTCTGCCTGTATCCATGTACATATTTATGACTGTTTTCACTGGCATCCTCACACTGTACAATGAAGTGCTGCTCTCAGTTACTGGAGTTGTGACATATTCATGGTGCTGGGGAAGCACAGATCTTAAGTAAGGTTTTATTCTTAAATGCCAGGCACTGAACGTTGTTTGTTACATGAACTGCAGGCAGCTTTTTCAGTGACTAATAGTAACACATTTTTAGTGTGCTGTAATGGAAAGAAATATTTATGACATATACTTTGTTCTTCATTCGGACATATGCATTTTTAATTTATTTGGTAGATTTGTCTGTTAGATATTAGTGCTTTTTCCATTAAAGCTGAAAAATGTTAATGGTTTTTTTTTTAGATCTAGATAACAGCTCTGCTTTATTCTTTTAATTTTTATTTAACTGTGGTGTAGTGTAAGAAAAAGATTAAAAGATATTCTGCATTCAGATACACTTGTCATAACTATAAGGTAATTTATAAAGTGTGTAGCTAGCAGCATCACTATCTACTTTACATTCTTACTGAATGTAGACAGAAATGTAAATCATTTTCAGCTTGTGATAATTGACTGCAAAGTTTTGCAGTGATTTTACCTAGTAAACTGGAAAAAAAACAAACAACAAAACCAGCAACAAAACTGCAGAACATTCTATACTGCTCCAAACTAGCAAAAGGCTAATTCCATGTCTTATTTAATCTGGGGAGACGTTTTTAAGTGGTAACTGCTCTTTCTCCTTTAGTTTTAAAGTTGCTTTAGGGATTTTAACACTCATGTGAGTGGTTTGAGCTCCATATTTTATTTGAATCTTCTCGGTAGATAGAATTACATCTCTCACTTTGAAGAAAAGAGGTTTATCATCTGTAGGAGATGATGCTGTGGATTTTAGACAGATCTGGAGCCCAGCTCACTTGAGTTTTCCATAACCATTTTAGTCTTAAGGAGTTTGGGGGGAAATTACTATAGCAGATGATTCCTGTTCTTGCTTTACTCCCCAGTCCTTACCCTTTATATCTTGACAGCCCTGTTTCTAGTGCTGCAGATGCAGTTAAACTTGTACTTTACAAATTACCCCTTCGCTTTGTCTGCCCTTTACAAATGTATAGAAGAACTCCATTATTTTTCCTTCTCTCCTAAAGAGGATACTTAGCTGGAACCATGGTCTTACCCAAATTGTATAGCTCCCTTTCTGCATTAACCCTATGGGTTTTGCCACAGATTTCCTTAAATTGTAGTTATACATACATGTCTTTTTTTCTGCTGTCATGATGGTTCTTTGGATTTTGCACAGGACCAAGCCTGGCCCTTTGCATCCAGCAGCAGCTTAGGGTGCTACTCTGTTCACTGACAAGCGTGATTTCATCCTCTGAGGGTGAAAATCATCTCTACTCTTTGCCATTTAGAAAATTAAATCAGAACTACCTGAATGAGAGATTTTATATCTTCTCTTACTATTCTTTGTAATCTGTTTATTTCTGCATAGTTGTAAAGAAAAATATATTATTTTAATATGTGGGACATACATGAGATATTATACTGAAGGACTCTTAACAGAAATAAGACAATAATATTCCAAGAACATAACACTTATACTTTTGTAGATTATCATTTTAAAGAAATCAGGTAGCAAAAGAAAATTAAACTAGGCATTTATTAGGTTTTAGTGCAATGCATTAGTTTATAAGGAATTGTTCACAATTGTCATCTGTATGCAAAATGCAAATAAAACTGCATAATTTAAACTTGGTAGTATCCATATTTAGATTTTTCTCCTGATTTATGGTGCAGAGTAATTCTTTACTAACATGCACTGTTGCAGTAAAGCCACAAAATGGCAAATGATTTTCAGTACTAGTGAATTTTTCAGTGCTAGTGTAGACTGGTTATGAAAGAGACAATTCCTTTCTGACAGGGGTATAAGAAAATATGTAAGCAAATCTAGCTAATAAATTGTAAATTTTTCTCAGATGCTTGAACCACCCCGAGGACATTTGCATGTTTATATCTAGATTTAGGGAATTTGACTTTATATTATGAAAGGATAAAGATAATATTTCCTATGCAGCAAGTTAGTCAAGTATTTATATTTTTTACTTCTTTTATTTTAGAACAGGTTGCACAATCAAATCCTGTTTTACACTCTTTCCAAAAGACTTAACTGAGTTCTGTCCTTTTCGTTTTTACTACAGTTCTTAGTTTGTAAATTTAAAAGGCCCATGGAAATATAAATTCAGAAATGATTTTAGAAAGAACTGTTTCTTAAGCAGTGCCTGTGGGTGGAGAATTTTCTTAGAGATGTGTGGGGTTTGAGACTTAGGATTCTTTTTAATGTAATGTGTGAGATGATACAATGTGTGTAAATTCTCAGTAGACTTGTATTTCATATACCTTGACTTGGTGGTTATCTAATCTGGTAATATGTAAGTGGAAGTTTAATTTAAAGCTGTATGGTGCATACCTGAAATTATAGCAACTTGGGCAGGCTGGGACAGAGAGATTGCAAATTGGAGGGGCTAGCCTGGGCTATATAGTGAAATCCTTTCTCAAAGAAAAAAGGAAATTTATTTTTAAAGTATTCTGCTGAGCTGAGCAGAGCAGAACAGGTTTGCTTTATAGATAGAAAAGAACAAGGGAAAATGATAGTAACAGACTCATTACAGTAAGAGGACTGGTCATTTCAAAGTTGTACATTTGTTGTTGTTTTTTAAAGTTGAAGCATAGGGACTCTTTTATCTTCCTGTCCTGGACCTGGCCTGTTGGGGGATTTCTCAGAAGACCCAATAACAGCTTGGCTTCTGCTCATTGGCATGAACATCAGCATTTCGATTCAGTCTTTTGGGTCTAGTACATGAGCTCCTTGTAAACTAATTGATGCTTACAAATTGTAGTTAACATTTTACACAACAGAATTAGAGCTTGACTACTCTAAAAAGTTTAATTTTTTTCTTCAAAAAAGCAAAGAATGTTTTAAATAATATTTTGTTGTAAAATGCAGCTTTCAGCTGACACATACCTTTAATCCCAACTCTCAGGAGGCAGAGGCAGATAGATCTCTGTGAGATTGAGGGTAGCCTGGTCTACATAGTGAGTTCCAGGCCAGCTGGGGCTATAGGGTGATCCCATGTCAACAGACAAACCCACAATAAAACAAAAATGCTATTTTTAAAATGATGATTAATATAGAAATATATGGGCCTAGATATAGTTAGTTCTTCATCAGTCTCTATTATGATTAGCCATTCTATTATACAGTTTCTAATTGTAGTCAATCTCAGTCAGAACTTCTTTTGTACATAACCTTATTCCTATGCTTTCAAGCCCCCACCCTCCCATCCTCCCAGAGCTGATGTACTTTTCTGGCCTTTACAGGTACCTTCACTCATATGCATGCACCCATACAGACACAGACAGGCAGGCAGGCAGGCAGGCAGAGAAACACACATACATCTATAGCAAACCAGGGCTCAGCAGTTAAGACCTCTTAACTGCTTTTGCAGAGGATGTAGGTTTGGTTTTCAGTACTACATGGCAGCTTACAGCCACCTGTATCTCCAGTTCCAAGAATCTGGCACCCTCTTCTGGCCTCTGTGGACTCTTGTCACGTGGTGCACATATGCTCGTGCAGGCTCACACATGTACACATAAATTAAAAAACAGACCTTTAAAAATATTAAAAGTAGCTGGGCGTGGTGGCGCACGTCTTTAATCCCAGCACTTGGGAGGCAGAGGCAGGTGGATCCTCTGTGAGTTCAAGGCCACCCTGGTCCACATAGTGAGTTCCAGGTCAGCTGGTGCTACAGGGAGACACTGTCTCACAAAGACCAAAAAAAAAAAAAAATCATTTTTTAAATGGGGGGAGGGATT